AAACAAAATGATAAGCAATACGTTCAGATAGTTGTCAGCATAATCGAAATTGAGGCCAACCTTCACTGTATTCATGGCCAACCATCCAAATCCAGCTCACCTGAAATAATTTTTCACTCTAGTTACAGATATTTTTTCAATAGTGTTTGAATTATATGAAAAAAATAACAGTATGTGGAAAAGGGGAATTCCCCATTACTTCTCCTCTGTCCTTTATTCCTTAAAAAAAATACATTTCTTATGGAGTTGTTCAAATTACAACGTATGTTTTTGACTTCAACACTGTGACTGTAATCTAGTTTGGGCAGTGATGAGTTAGCATGAGTCAGAAATGTTAAGAGAGTTAAGCACTGTACCTTTGTGGCAAGCAGTATTTTCTTAGCTAGAAGTTAGGAAAAGGCTGAATGACAAGTAAAATGTTCAGGGATGATATGGACCATAACCTTCACATTCAGAAACTATTACAACAGGCTTTCATATCCTGAGGGCTTGTTTTACTCAAGAAAAAAGCAGTGAGCAACACATGATCAAAATTTGAGTTCAGTTAATTAGGTGACAATCATTTTACTAATTAGGGAGCATATTCTCAAGGGCAACAGATAGAGAAATGGGAATACAAGAAAAGTGATTTTCCATACTTAACAGAAAATTCATAATTTAAGAAAAATATATTCTTAAGAAAATCAAAACTAAAAAATGATGGAGAAGATGCGATAACAATGTCTCAGAAATGAGTAAGCTTTGCAAATAGCAATGCCAAACACTGGCTCATCTTCAAATGATAAGGAGTTATTACATGGTACAAGTTGACAAGGTATAGAGCAAGACAATTTTTTAAATATGATTTTCTAACATAGTGAAGTCAAGAGAAGCAGTAGTGAAAAGTGCATAAATCTGAGAGTCAAAACCCCAGTGTGCCATTGTACTAAGCAGTGTTGCTAACTCATTCTGGGAATTTAGCCCGCAAATTTCATCTTTCCAAGACACAGATTTCTCCTCTATAATATGACATGACAGGATTACATACATTTGTTAACCTCGGGAATTATTTTCTTCATGGATGCTTGTTGTTGCACTAAAATAAAAACATTATTTTCTTTAACCTGATCCTAAGTAAAATCACTTTTGAACTCTTTACCAAAAAGTATATTTAAAGTTGAGTAATTATGAGAGGGACTCAATATTTAGTACAATATTATCTTTAAGATTCATAGCACTGTATTAGTCCATGTTCATACTGCTGATAGAGACCTACCCAAGACTGGGCAATTTATACAGGAAAAATAGTTTATCAGACTTTCAGTTCCACATGTCTGGGGAAGCCTCACAATCACAGTGGAAGGCAAGGAGGAACAAGTCACATCTTATGTAGATGGCAGCAGGCAAAGAGAGCCAAGCAAAAGGGATTTTTCCTTATAAAAACTATGAGTTCTCATGAGACTTATTCACTACCACAGGAACGGTATAGGAGAAACCACCCCCATGATTTCATTATCTCCCACTGGATCCCTCCCACAATCTGTGAGACTTATGAAAGTTCAATTCAAGATGAGATTTAGGTGGGAACACGAAGCCAAAACATATCATTTTGCCCCAGTCTCTACCAAATTTCATGTCCTCAATTTCAAAACCAATCATGCCTTCCCAACAGTCCTCCAAAGTCCTAAATCATTTCGACATCAACTCAAAAGTCCACAGTCTAAAGTCTCAACTGAGACAAGGCAAGTCCTTTTTGCCTATGAACTTCTAAAGTCAAAAGCAAATTAGTTACTTCCTAGATATAATGAGGGTACAAGCAGTGGGTAAAAACAGCCATTCTAAATGGGAGAAATTGGCCAAAACAAAGAAGCTACAGGCCCAATGCAAGTCCAAAATCAAACATGGTAATCAAATCTTGAAGTTCAAAAATGATCTCTTTTGACTCCATGTCTCACATCCAGGTCACATTGATACAAGAGGTGGGTCTCCATGGTCTTGGGCAGCTCCACTGCTGTGGCTTTGCAGAGTATAGCCTTCCTCCTGGCTGCTTTCATGGGCTGGCATTGAGTGTCTGCAGCTTTTCCAGGCAAACAGTGCAAGCTGTTGGAGAATCCACCATGTGAGTGTCGGGAGAATAGTGGGGGCCCTCTTCTCACAGCTCCACTAAGCAATGCCTCTGTAGGGACTTTGTGTGGGAGCTCCAACCCCACATTTCCCTTCTGCACTACCCTAGCAGAGGTTCTTCATGAGGGCCCCACCCTGAAGCAAACTTCTGCCTGGGCATCCAGGCATTTCCATACAGCCTCTGAAATCTAGGCAGAAGTTTTCATACCTCAATTCTTGACTTCCATGCATATGCAGGCTCAACACCACATGCAAGCTGCCAAAGCTTGTGGCTTGCACCCTCTGAAGCCATGGCCCAAGCTGTACATTGGCCCCTTTCATCTATGGCTTGATTGGCTGGGGGCAGGGCACCAAGTCCCCAGACTGCATACAGCATTGGGACCCTGGACTTGGCCCACGAAATCATTTTTTTCCTTGGCCTCTAGGGCTGTGATGGGAGGAGCTGACATAAAGACCTCTGACATGTCCTGGAGACATTTTCCCCATTGTCTTGGGGATAAACATCTGACTCCTCATTACTTATGCAAATTTTTGCACCTAACTTGCATTTCTCTTCAGAAAATGGGATTTTCTTCACATTGATGATGTTGCAAATTTTCTGAACTTCTATGCTCTGCTTCCCTTACAAAATTGCATGGCTTTTACAGCACTCAAGACATTTCTTGAATGCTTGGCTGCTTAGAAATTTCTTCTACTGGTTACACTAAATCATCTTTCTGAAATCCAAAGTTCCACAAACATCTAGGGCAGGGGCAAAATGCTGCCAGTATCTTTGCTAAAACATAACAAGAGTCACCTTTGCTCCAGATCCCAACAAGTTCCTCATCTCCATTTGAGACCACCTCAGACTGGATTTCATTGTCCATATCATTACCAGCATTTTGGTTAAAGCCATTCAACAAGTCTTTAGGGAGTTCCAAATTTTCCTGCATTTTCCTGTCTTCTTTTGAGCCCTCCAAACTGTTCCAACCTCTGCTTGTTACCTGGTTCCAGAATGTTTCCTTATTTTCAGGTATCTTTTCAGCAGCACCTCAGCCTACTAGCATCATTTTACTTTGTTAGTCTGTTTTCATGCTGCTAATAAGACATACTGGAGACTGGGTAATTTATACAAGAAAAAGGATTTATTGGACTTACAGTTTTATGTGGCTAGGGAAGCCTCACAATCATGGTGGAAGACAAGGAAGAGCAAGTCACATCTTACGTGGATGTCAGCAGGCAAAGAGAGCCAAGCAAAAGGGATTCTCTCCTTATAAAGCCATCATATCTCATGAGACTTATTCACTACCCTAGAACAGTATGGGAGAAACTGCCCCCATTATTCAATTATCTCCCACCAGGTTCTTCCCACAATATGAAGGAATTATGGGAGTACAATTCAAGATGACATTTGGGTGGAGACACAGAGCCAAACCATATCAGCACAGAACTACAGTATAAGACACTACAGATTAAAACAGATCAGAAAACGAGCACATTTTGTAAAAAAGACTACTGTCCTGTCCTCTTAAACTTTTAAATTTAGTTTATATCCTTACTCTACAACTACCACAACTCTACAACTACTCCAGATGGAAACACGTGTTTTGTGCTTAAATGTTTAACAATCATAAAAGTGTAGGGCTAACAGTAAATTACAAAATGCATTGACTTACGTAACACATCACATTGCTATATGTTATATTAAAGAACTGTTGGGCAACTGTACTGTACAGGTATTGATCAACTTACGACCTATGCAACTTACGACCATTCGACTTTATGACCACAATCGCTAGCCACAACTGCTCCGCGTCTGTCAGCGCAAACGTTGCCCAGCTGGGCGTAGGACAGTGCGGACCAGCTTCCGGCAGCACTACCATCTCCGCGTGCACCATTTCAACTGTTATCCCAGACTCAGTACAGCAATTTGTGTTTTGTGTCTTGGATATTTTTCATCAAACCCCTCCCAAGATGTCTACCAAGAGGAAATTGTCTTTGTCTATGCCTCAGCCTATCAAGGAGGAAAGAAAGGCCATTGATCTCGACAGGAAAATGAAGGTAATTAAGCAGTACGAAGGAGGAAAGAAAGTGAATGTAATCGCACGTGATACGAAGTTATCACACTCGACTGTGTCGACGATTTTGAAAGATAAAGAATTCGTGAAGCTGTGAAAGGTTCTGCACCCATGCGATCAACAGTTATAACAAAGCAACGAAGCAGGCCCATCCACGAAATGGAGAAATTGCTATATATTTGGATGGAAGATCAAATTCAAAAACAGACACCATTAAGTCTTACAATAAAATATGACTTAAAGATTTTTATAACATCATTTCACAGTACTGTGCATATAGCCTACTCAACTTACGAACAAATCATGTTACGACCGGTCTGTCGGAACCAATCGTGGTTGTAAGTCGAGCACTAGCTGTATTAGGAGAAAAAAACTAAACCATAACTTTCTTCTAAATTTCAAGTTTGTCAGATATCTTTAAAAATACATCAATTGAAAAGTGACCAACTACCCAAGTTATTAAAAGTATCTGACATTCAATTAATGACCAAATAGTGTAACTTGAATATTTTTCTAAACAAAATTTACTTATTTCATACTGTTTCATAACACGTTAACGTCATAACTATAAAGATCATTATTAATTTCAAATAATAAACATTTCCCAGTATATTTGAAGCTAATTTATCAATTCGTATATAAAGTTTACAAATTCAAATTTACAAATATTTTCATTGTTATACAAATTTGCTTTATCTGTACCAGATAATAAATATAGAAGCAGAAGTTAATTCATTACAGTTGAGAGACGCCTTAATGAGGCAGTTTCACAAAATTGTTAAGAGGTCAGTCTCCGGTGCCAGATTGTTAAGTGTAACCTCAGCTTTTTTTTTTTTCTAGTATGGAACGCTTCACGACTTTGCATGTCATCCTCGCGCAGGGGCCATGCTAGCCTTCTCTGTATCGTTCTAATTTCAGTATATGTGCTGCTGAGGCGAGCACACGTGTAACCTCAGCTTTAACATTTATCACTATGTGACCTTAGTTTATGTAACCTCTTTGCCACCATTTCTTCAAGATGATTGTAAGATATATCTCTGTATTAGTTTGCTAGGGCTGTCGTAGCAAAGTGGATGGCTTAGAACAATATTAATTTATTGTTGTGACAAATTTATTGTCATAGTTTTGGAGACGGGAAGGTCAAAATCAAAGTGCCAAGAAGACCATGCTTTCTCTGAAGGCACTGGAGAATTTGTTCCTGGCCTCTCTCTAAGATCTTCACCTTGTATCGGCATAGCTCAGGTCTTCACATGGTGCTCTTCCCGTGTGCATGTCTGTCTCCAAATTTCCCCTTTTGTAAGGACACTGATCATCTATAGGGCTCACTGTATTCCAGTATGACCTCATCTTGAATAATTACAACTGTAATGACCCTATGTTAAAATAAAGTCACACTCTGAGGTACTGGGGATTAGGCCTTCAACCTGTGAAGTTGAAAGGGGAGTACAATTCAATCCATAACAAACTAATGGGATTTGTATAAAGTAGTATATATACTTATATACAAGAACACTGTCATGTGGTAAGCACCCAGCCATGAAAATATGAATAGACCTGTGCTTCCCATCAAGAATCAGAAATCCAAGCAATAAAATGTAAGCCTAATTAAATAGATTCTAAGAATATATTTTAAGACTATATTTAATTAATTGGAAGCAACTACAACTGTTTAATTTCTTTGACATAGGAGAGATATAATGAATCCAGTAGAACTATATTTTATAATTTTCTGTAAGTTAATTAATGTTAACTATATGTTAATTCATGTTAACTAATTTTCTATAAGTTAATTAATGTCAACTAAGTAGTTTTGCATTGAGATGCTGCAAAATAACAGAAAATATACAATTGAAGAAAACTTATTTCTTCAGATAAAATTTGTTTAAAGAACACATGGAGGAGCATAAACTATCAATTAAATATATGATTGATTAATTATATATAAAAATCAAATGTTATATTTTAAAAAAAGGATGTTTGCCTGTTTATGAATTCATTTCCCCATTCTTCCATCCATTTTCCTACTTACATATTCTTCTGTAGGCTATGTAATTAATAGTCCATCTTTACTTCATGTCTAAAAGTACAAAATTTTAATCTACTTCAAAATGTCACAGACTAATACAAATATTTATTTATAAGAATGACAAGAACACTATAGTTTTAGCTAATAAAATATTTGAAACAAATTACCCAAAACAGAAGGCAGAAAAATAGTTTATCCATACAGCATAAAATGTTACAGAATTTTTTAAATGTAACCCCAGCACAAAATTAAATACAAACAAAGTGATTGATTTTAAGGAAAGATATAGAGTCATCTTTATAATATGACATTAGGGTAAAATGAAGAAATTAGAGGAAATAAAACACAGGTCTGTGTGTGTGTATGAGAGTGTGTGTGCACTGTGCATGAGTGTGTGTGTGTGCGTGTGTGCATATGTGTGTGTGTGTGTGGCATATGAACCACATGCACACTTTTATCCAATACTTAATGTCTTATTTATTGGCAGTGAAAATATTAAGTGATTTTACTTTTCACTGTGTTCTTTTAAAAACATAATTGAAGAACTACTAAATGCCACCCAGCCTACCCACCTTATCACTGGAATTTGCAGGAGGATGATGAAATCTTTCACAGCCTTATGTCATGTTTCCATTTATAGCAATATGACTTGACATAGCTACACAACAATGTGAGTTCAACAAGCAATAAATATTCACATAACAGTAATATAAACTTCAGACAATCTCAATCTTCCAAAATTTAGTACTCAGTCAAAAGTTTGTATCACAGATGGAAATCTCAGGAAATGTCCACATAACTTGTATTAGTGAAACAAGAAAGCTTGTGTAAGATCATACATTTATCATCCAGAAATATTAAATTTCTTACCTAAAATTATTTAACAAAAATAACTCTAAGGACCAAATATTATCCCTCTCACACATCTAAGCTATCAGAACTGTTGAATTTATTTTCATAATTCATTTCTAATCATATCTATTTTTATCTTCATGAAAACTCACTCTACTCTGCATCATGATTATTTTTTACATACACTACACCTCTTATTGCCTTTGTATCTTGACTCTTACTCATGTATAGTTCTCCATACAAAAATCAATGAAAGTAATATTTTTAAAAACCTAAATCAAATCGTGACCATTCCAGAATGTAAACTCACGCAATGCCTCTGGCTGCATTACACAAGGAAGAACCAGGTTTCCACTCGTGTTCTACAGTGCCTTTATGAATTGACCCTTATATTACATCTCCAACTTTATTTCTGTTTTACTAAACCAATATTGACTTCATCTTCGTGACTTAAAAGTTTTCTTCATTTAAGTTGCAACTTTGCTCAAAAACTGTTGTCCAGTTTTTGTGTGCCTGGCTCCATTCATATCTCAGCTTAAATATCAAATCTAAAAAGCACTGTTCTTAAAATCATATGAACTACTAATAAATATGTAATTAATAAAACAATAATACTGGCAATAGATGGCACTTATGATCATTACTCTGGGAACTCTTCGTGTTCTATTTTAATTAAATCTCAGCGCAACACTTTAGGTTACATAATATTGTTGCCATTTTACTGACGAAATTGAGATTTCATTTGTTACTAACTGCCAAGTTCTATGGTACACTCTTCACTCAAACCTATATTTTTGTGAAGCAAAACTTGTGTTAAATTAATGACTAGTGAATACTAATCACAGCTGTAAGAAGGAAGTCAGTTTGGCATTCGGTCATTTACAAAAATGCGTTAAATTCTGAAAAACTGACATAGAATTAGCAAATTATAAAAATTTAGGGCATTCAAATATAGAAATAGACAATTTTATAGACTTTAGCAGTTTAAAGTTATTGTATATAAAAGAATACAATAACATCTATAATTGTAATCCTCGCGCATCAAGAAAATGTTTACATTAGGAAATTATTTCCATGAAGGTATCAAATAAATGCAATCAGTTTTAGAAAAATGCCTGTGTTATGATCAATACTAAATTTGATGCTTAAAGAACAGTGTTTCGGACACTTGATGGTTACCCGGTTCCCTGATGACAAAAGGTGTGATGAAACATTTGCAGGTTCGCCATCTAATTTGCTTTCTTAAATGTGTTATTCTCTAAAATGAATTGTTCACATATCATAGCTCAGCTAATAGCATCTTGTGAGAAATATGGATGTCAAAGAGAAAATCCATACCCAGACTTAATGGTGGTAATTCAAAGTAAAGCAAGTAAAAAAAGGCATGAAATTGTAATTAACATTCAATTCTATCTATTGTTTATAAAAGAATACACATCAAGATAACAATTTGTCTGAAATCTATAGCAAAGATAGATAGCTAATTATAGTTGATATAGAAATAGAATTTTAAGTACTGCTTAACGCAACTGTAGAAAATATAGTGAAGGATATACTTTATGTTAGTGCAGTAAGTACTTACTGCAAGACTTTACTTTTCCAAAAGACTATGCTTGAGTTCCAAGAGGCAGAATTGATCTCACAATACGCATTTTTAACTATACCAAGGGCTTTTAAAATTTGTAGCTAGAGTCATATTCACAAAACTGGTTAACACTCTGTAAACCTAACTCAACAATTTCATAGGAATATAAGGTAAGCAAGGAAGAATTCATTTATATTTGTTTTCCTCTTAATAAAAATATATTAATTTATTTCAGAACTTATGTTATTCTTTAGAATATTAATTATTAAAGCATATTCATATTTTATTTTGCAGTACTTATAAGCCACTGTCAAAACAAGACCCTGTTTAATGAATATAATTATTAAAAGGGATATTTGGTTCTATTGCAATTTTATTGTAACTTTCCTGCTAGACACAATTATAGCTTTGGTTTTTCTGAAATATGTATTTATTTTATTTTTTGTTATTGTCACTTGATAGTTTTTTGGGAAAGCTACAAACGCTTCTTGCCAATTAGGTGCTGACCATGCAAAGACAAATCTAAACTAATTCAGATTTATTCTGTTATTGGCACAGTTGAAACAGAAATATGCTAGTTTCTCAACTGAAAGAATAGGGTTTTATGAATATATTTATAACCAGAGATTTTACTGCCAATTTTATTTTCTCTTTATGCTTCTCTGCAACCTTATTGTAATAGCGTAACCATGGCCTTTGTTTAACGTTGCCGCAGAGGTGAAGCTTGTGACAATTTTATAATATTTTAAAATGGGAATTCTCCCTTTTTGTTGAAAGTCTCCATGGGAAAATCATAAAAAACAAAGTTTTGAAAACTATTTCAGGAATAGAGTTTTAATAATAATGTTTGAAGGGAGTCTGTCTGAAGGGAGTTTATCAGCATATTTACCGTGATGGTGACAGCAGAAGGGAAAGAGCAGTGCAAAGAAACCCCCCATGGCAGATGGTTCGGCTTCCACTTCCAGAGGACATAAAGGGCTAAGAGAATGAGGTTGTACAAATAGTACTGTCAAAATGGGAAATAAAATGACTTTCTCTTCCTGGCACATAATACCGTCCTCAGTGTTCTGAATAAGCAATTGTTGGGTTATAAAACAAACTAAATTCTGAGAGTCTAAACTAAAACTTGTGTATGAAATCATAATGTATCAATCACATTTAAACATCTCAGATATGTAACAGAATTAAATTTGCTCTCATAGACATTTCAAGGAAAACTATCAAATGATAGTCCAGCCATTGAGAACCAGAGGGCAGTTTTTTTTCAACATTCATTCCTTTTTTTTATGCCGGGAATTTAAGGAGAGAAAATTAGCTTCATTGTTAAATTTAGTACATTTTATAGTTAAAATTAATCAGTACCCCTTCTTACACAGCAATTGATTCCAAGGTAAATTCAACCAGAATATAGTTGTTGTAACGAAAGTGATTTACTATGGAAAATCTGCAACATGGGCGTTACAATGGAAG